CTTCTATATCCTACCTCTTTTTTGACATCCACCCAATTAAGCTGAAAGCTAACATTTAGTCGGCTGGTATTGTTTGGATGTTTTGAGGATATATTAAATTTTATAGGCTACAGTTACTGCTTCAGTTCCACAAAGTACATGAGCAGTTACAGTTATCTTTAGACTTTTGAAGACCTTACAAAATACTGCTAAGAATAAGACTACCGTATTGGCAGTTTTGTTTTAATTTAGTGATTTATCTAATATCTCTTTCCAGAAAGAGTTAACTGTTTTGTATGTAAGTGCTGTATGTCTTGGTCTAAAATACCTTTTTATTACAGCTTTTTTCCACAGCTACAAAGAAATGATAGATCATAAACTGTGCAGAAAGTTAATTTTATTAATTTATAGATACAGCCTTCCAGTATCTGAAGGGGGCTTATAAGGATGCTGGGGAGAGACTCTTCATTAGGGACTATAGTGATAGGACAAGGGGTAAGAGGTTAAAACTTAAGCAGGGGAAGTTTAGTTTGGATATAAGGATGAAGTTCTTTACTGTGAGGGGGGTGAGGCACTGTAATGAGTTGCCTGAGGAAGTTGTAAATGCTCCATCCCTGGTGGCGTTCAAGGCCAGGTTGGACAGAGCCTTGGGTGACATGGTTTAGTGCGAGGTGTCCCTGCCCATGGCAGGGGGGTTGGAACTAGATGATCTTAAGGTCCTTTCCAACCCTAATTATTCTATGATCCTATGATTCTATACAGGACAGAACTTGTAGTGCTATTCCCATAGGGAGACTTTTGCACCTAGGCACATGAACTGAAATCTACAGGGTGATGTCTATGCTGGTAATTATAACTGTCCACAGTTCACTGTCCTGGCTTCTATTCAGTGCACAGAAAACAAGTAGTGAGTATAACAGGTCCTAGAAAGGCTCCATGAAGCAGAGAGTCTATGGTGCCGTCCACAAGATGTAAAACAGGCATTCCAGTGGCAGGCAATGCCAAGGTCCATCATAAATATCAATATACATATGCAAAAGCCCAGTAGTCTTTAAGGCTAAGGCCACAATGATACATCTGGAAGTATCCGGAATATGAAACAGTATATAAATAGTAACCAAGACATGAGTTGATGACATGCGGTATCATTATGAGACTACGTATCTGTCGGTTGGCATCTTTTTAACTTCCCTTCAAACCCTTTCCCCTGCCATCAAAGCAAAGAACCCACAAGTACCCTCTACGGAATGTACTGGAATATGGAGACTGCTTTCCCATGGTAACTTTCCCTTCTCTCACACTTTCTCCTTCAGGGTCTGCTCCTGAAAGACCTCCAAAGAAACTTACTCTCAATACTTTTACACCTTAATAACAGGAAGGCTCCCACACTAGTCTCTGCATACACTGGGCTGAGCTTCTTCCTACTGCTCCTTCTGCATTCTCCCTGACAGAGGATTCAGAAGGAAGAATTCTTATCTCATAAAACTTTCATTCCCTTTTCCTTAAAAAAAAAAAACAAAGAACACTTGAAACAAGGAATTCCACCACATACCTTCAAAGACAATGAGGAGGAAAGACTAAACAAGTTGAATCGCTCTTGAATCATTCAAACAGTACTTTTACAAAGGGTACATCTATAGCACACAACACATACAAGATAATTGAGGAAGCTCATGCTCTAAGACAGCACTGTGTTCATTTACTGTGCATTTCTGAGAACCACAGTCACATAATTACAATGCTTCCCGCACACAAGTCTCACCAATTACTTTCCTTTGGATGTAAGCAGGATATAGACGTTGAGAAATGAGGTGTTAGTAGCCCTGTGACACTGTGTCTTTAGTTAAGTTGCTATAAACTTCAATAAAGTGTTGCTTTCTGCAAGTGAAACACTGGTTTCCAGACTGACATCTCTGGAGATGGGATTCTTTTACCTGCATTACCATTGGTTTCTATATCTGTTCAAAGCCTTGCACATTTAACATAAAAGTCTACTAAAAAGATGATTCCTATGGTCTGTGTCACCAATTTTCCTTCCAGTGGGAAATCAGCTGTCAGACTCCTGACATCTGCTATTGATGTGTAAAAGCAAAACAGTTCACTTCTCTCTGTATAAAAGTACAACTTACATCCAAAGCAGACAAGGGAGAATTTAAAGCAGCAAACACAATTTTCACCCTAAAAGAAAATGCTACCTTGGAGATGCTGACCAGTTCTTTTCACTGGCAATTTGTAAAAACGAGGCTAGAAATCAATCTTGTAACTGCAAGCACTTTGTGTATTAGAGGCCCATAAGCTGAACAAATAAGTCTGGAGGAAGAATGAAAAAGCTGCCAGCTGCCACTACTCTAAAGACAGCATTATTTATACCAGGAACTTAACCGCCCAATAAACATCCTAAGTTTTCCCCCTAGGAAGAGGCAGGACAGCATTATTAGACACAGGTTTCTTCAAAGAGCACACCATCAGGATATTCCACTCTCTAAGGAACATGTGATGCGTTTTCATGTTCTGGCAGTGCAAAGCCCCTTACCATCCCTTCCTGCTTGAAGGATCATTTTATCACCTGCATTTGTTAAAAAAAAAAACAACACAAAAACAAACAAAAAACCCGCTTCAAAACAGCACTAAATTATTAATGAAGGGGACAGCTTTTATTTTCTTAGATTGGTCACTAGGGACTGTAGTGACAGGACAAGGGGTAATGGATTCAAACTTAAACAGGGGAAGTTCAGGTTAGATATAAGGAAGAAGTTCTTTACTGGGAGGGTGGTGAAACACTGGAATGGGTTGCTCAAGGAAGTTGCGAATGCTCCATCCCTGACAGCGTTCTAGGCCAGGCTGGATGGAGTCTTGGGCGACACAGTTTAGTGTGTGGTGTCCCTGCCCATGGCAGGGCAGATGGAACTAGATGATCTTAAGGTCCTTTCCAACACTAACTATTCTATGATTTTGAACTGACAAACATCAGATATGCAGCACCACAGGAAACATGTCAGAGCACAGACACCTCTGTGGTCAAAATCATTTGCAAATCTCATGCCTTCAAATTAGCATTCCCTCCACCCATACACAGAAATATGTGGTAATGAAGTCCTGGGTTTGTAGACTGAGACACATTCATCTATGTGTATACACACATACAACTTACATATACCTACACCACCAGCACGAGAGGAGAGTATTGTTACTTTATTTACTAATTTGTAGATTGAGCACACAAGTCATAATGGCAGAAGTCAAAAAACAAAAGACATTTTCAAGTGTTAGGTAACTGTTCATACTGCACATAAATCACATTTAAGACATTTAGCTAAAACATCAAAATCATTCAAAAGGGCTTTGCAGATATCTAGCGGTTTGCTGTCTGAGAGACCGCATGCTATTTTGAAAGACAGATGTAGTATTAAAGAGCAGCCATTTCTGGAACAGACTTTAAAAAACTAGTTGGTGCACAAAAGCCTGCCCTACATCACAGGAGTAGCAAGTCTGAACCAAAGCAACAAAGTAAACCCTTCTTTTTACAGCAAAAGTCAGAAGATTTTTAACATCAATTCAGAATCAGAGTCAAGAGGAGCTACTTTAAGACAAATGCAGGTTACCGAGTAAAATTTAGCAGAGTCTGGATTTCAGCTTGTCTTTCTAGTGAAAAAGATTTCAAACATAAATCCACATATGCACAACTAAAGTGAGCTACTGCACAGTACAGCTCCTGATCTTCTGAATTCTCAATTTTAGGCTGTTTTGTTGGTTTTTTTTTTCCACTCTGGAAAGTAACTCAGTAGACATATCAGGTCAGTCACTTGACTTTGACATTAGCAAGTACAGGTACATCTTTTCTTTATATCTAAGACCATGCCTCCCTTGCAATAGCAGAGTCTATACGCAAGTATAGCAGCCTAGTGATTCATGCATTCTAATACCCATAGAGGCTACAGCAGGAAACGTGATAAATGCACTTCTCTAACAAACTGGCAACAGCAGCCACCAGACCTGCCATTCTGCACTCACTAGTTTCATGCTACATGGATCAGGAGCGTACCTGCAACTTTTCCCTTAACATCGAATAGGGTTTGGGTTTTTTGTCCTGTCATTGTGAGTCGGGGATTCTATTTGTTTGCTTCCTCCAGACAGCTCCAAATACCAGCAGCAACAACACAGCTCTGTACTGGGCTACTGCAGTCACAGGAAGTGACGAGTAGTCACTGAGGTAGCACAGCCCAATCACCTGGGCCTTCCTGGGAGAGAGCAGATAATGACAAGTAGAAGGTCTCAGAGATGGGTTTTTACCACAGGCTATCACCTGGAATGTGCCAGCCTAACTATTGAGACCCATAACACCACAGTTTCATTGTACAAACCAAGTAAATTGTTGGCACCCACTTACCTGCAGTCAATCTGCAGATTGTAATCAGAAGCCATTAAGTCTCTCCCCAAGTGCTAGCAAAAATATAACCTAAATATCCTCATTACTGTCAGTCAGTGAAACCCTCCTAAGCACCTAAATAATTTTCAGGTGAGACTTCATTCTGATAGGTTTCACATACAGGGTTTTGAGACTTTTTATTCCTTTTTGACCACACAGGAAAAAAAGTTTATTAATCAGCAGAGTATTCATTAAATTATCTCTGAAAACTTCCATTAAGAACAGCAGCACTGAAGAGAAGACAAGATTTGACCAGAATATTTCTCATGGCTAAAGATACTTGAAAGGAAAACAGTGCACTAGTAGGAAGCACAGTATTTTATATATATACATAAGAGCTGATAGATACAGAACCTACCACAAAATTTCCAGGAGTCATTTATTAGCATAAAAATACTTCTTGCCGTATTAACGGCCAGAAGTACTGAATTTAAACAAACAAAAAAACCCAGACAAACAAACAAAAAATCAAACAAACAAAACAAACACAAAACAAACAAACAACAATCCCACCCTTTTAGGTAATGAAATGATATAAACTGCAAAAGTTCAGTTTCATTTGCCAACTTTTCAGGTTTTTCTCTCAACCTCTGACCTGCAAGGGAGACAAAGCTGATATATCAGGAAAACGAAGCTTCTTGCTTGGAGAGAAGTCTGGTTAAAATATGTAACATCAGTGCTGCGGGACCTTAGATCTATAAATACAAAACAAATACACTCTAAGTAGTGTTTCAAAGAGACTCGTTTGTGTACTTCTGCTTTTTAAATTGATTTTTATAGGAATTCGATACTTGGGACAAAAGAGATCAAAAGGAAAGAGCCAATTGAGCCGAGAGACAGCAGCTTTGTGCAAGTGCGCTAGTGCCCCCTCCTGGGGCGGCTCAGACCTGCTCGCTCCCGTGTTTCCACCACCCGGCAGACCCTGAAGGAGTTCCACCCCCCCAGGGCCATCAGGAATGTTTGGGAATCTCGAGATTTAAAACAAACAAACAAACAAACAAACAGAAAGTAAACCACGTGCCGCATAAACACAGCAAGTTACTGATCATTATATGTACTATGACAATTCATCACCTGAAATCCTTAAATGCGACAGCACTTTATTCCCTCCTGCATCACCTGATGCAGAACCCAAAAGCGATTTTCATCATGAACAGCAGAGCACACCACTGGACAGCAGAATATTCAGAAAGCTAAGATAAAAAGTCAAACAGCAACTTTCACATTCAGACACACCTGAAAGCTTTGGCAACTCACAATGCAAAGTGCGAGCATACAAAGTTCCATAGGCTCTTACTGCAATTGCTTTGATTTCAGTGGCACTAGAACAAGGGTAAATTTTATGGTTAGATAAAATCCTGCTTTTGATTACCCTGCGCAAGCCCAGGGTAATTCATGGGCCCAAGTACACCTCCCATTTACCACAGTTTAATGAGTTGCCTTATGTAAGCTAAGCTTAAAATTGCAAGTTTAACCCCTACCAAGCATGAGAAAATACACAGTTTAAGCTTACAAGGAGTTTAGGCAAATTAATTTTAATTATCATATGTGATTGATAAGAATGAACGCAGGTACTGCAGCTCAGCTGAAAAGCAACTCACTATACTGCAACAACCCTCAGCCTACATCCAAACCATAAATTCTAATGTTAGTTCCAAAGTTTGGTCTTTACCGAATGTTTTAATGAAATTTAGAATTATATTTTAAACTTACTACACTAAGTAAATATAGCTTGGACATATCTATTTAATGGACTAAACAGGTATAAAACCAGTCTCTCAAGTAAGTACAAGAGTCAAAGAATTACAAGAACAACCAGAGCAAATGAAGGACACAGTTTGATGGCACAGTCCATTTTGCAGGTCAGAATGGCCTCCACAAGTCCAAGAACCAGCCTGAGCAGAGCAGCATTCAACTGTAACCAGCCCAAGCGCAGCCAGTTCCGCAAACACAGACTGAAAAAAGGCTGATCACATAGCAGTTCCCAAAGTGGAACTCCCCATCCCTTTTGACCATAAGCTTCCTGAACACCAACACTGTTGTGCAGGCGTACAACATCACACGACTATCAAAGGTGAGTACATCCTGCAAAACACACTCAGCACCAGGAAGGCTTCAACTGAGCAGTGGTATATCCACTTTTTGGGAGCACACTTCAAGGAAGTATGTGATCCCCATGAAAAGGGTCCAAACCGGAAGAGAGAATGATCAAAGCTAAAAGTTGCCATACGTAACATCACGGCAAATTGGCATTCTTTAGCCACTCTTTAATCTAGAGAAAAAGAAAACTGGGACAGCATTACCAATTTTAAAATATGGAATATGGTTGCAGGAAGAAAGGTAATAAATTGTTTTAAATTGTTTCTTATATCCACAGAAGGCAGAAGGAATAGCAGTAATGGTTTTGAATTGCAGCAATAAGCATTGAAGTAACACATCAGAAAAATCTTTCAGTGAGAGATACAATAAAATCATCAGAACAAACAAAATCAAAAGGCTTTAAGAAAAGGTTAGACAAACAATTGCTAAGGAGCAACCATAAGGGTGACGTATTTTATTTATATATTTTATTTAAATGCATAAATGGAAAAACAGCGAGCTCTGAATTATCTACCAGGCTATTCTTGTCTATGGATTCCCATAGTAAGTATATGCAATACAAGTGTGAAAACAAATCATTTAACACACTTCTTCACTGATACTAATTCTTTTTCAGTGGAGTCAAACCAACAGCTTACAAACAGCACCACAAAACCTGAAACACTGCTCACTAGCATTGAAATTAACACGATGAAACAAAGCCAAGAGAAGGAAAGTCATACCATCACTTGTAAAACATTAGACATGCTGAATTACTACTGCCCGTGAGCCAACAAACAACAGGAAAAAACCCAAACATTCCCTAGAATGCTGTCCACAGCTGTACCAGCATCGCATTTACACAGAAATCAAGTATAAACCATTGTTCTGAACCCAGTCTACACCAGTGACAGTATCAACAACTGAACAGTTCATGGAAAGGACTGCTGAGGCAGCTTTCTATCAGCACTTTCATTCTTCTCCTGTTACTGTATTAAAATCCGAAATTATCTTCTGGAAGCTAAAGATTAATATCACTAAATCACTATGAAAAAGAGGCCTAATCAACAACAACAAAAAAATGCCTTAGACCATGCAGGTAATCTGCCTTGTAAAGGCATAGAGCTCACGTTATACAAACTGCAGGTGAATTCTCCAGCTGTTTATATCCTTAAAGGCACACATTCCTGGCTATTTCTGACTCTGCATTTTGATCTTAAAACACAGCCCAGGCAAATAGGAGGCAGAATAAATTACTATCTCCCAAGAATTACTCTCCTGCGACACACCCACAGCAAACTTGTGCAAGGTCCAAACATTTAAAGAAACAAGTAAAAACCTATTGCCTATTTTCCCAGTACTGGCATTTTATTATTTAAAATTCTTAAAGTGACAAAAACAAACCAAACCCAAGCCTTTGGAAGAAAAAAGAGTAAATCTGGTTTTCCACTTTTGTGTGTGTGTGAACTACAGCTCATGTTTTGCTGTAACCTTCATCATCCATAAAATGAATTAATATTTTTACCATACTGGTTTTCTTAATTAAATGTTATACAAGCAGGAAGGGGAGGAAGAAGGCCACTGTACACTAGCAGCTGAAGGGCACTTTTAGTAAAAGATTAAGAAGAGGTTTCTTACAAGGACTATAAAATGATGGTAGTTACCACTACATCCTTTTATAGCTCTTTCAGATTTTGCTGACCACCTGAGTTGTTACTGATTGCTGCAGCCCCAACTTTTTTCTTAACTTTTCCATTTGCTGCATGCTTCCCAAAGCTGCCCTAGATTTATTGCCTCAATATCACCCATCTATCTGCTTGCTGCCCAGAAGGCAGCTCAAAGACTATTTTAAGCATTAAGACTCCTCAGCTGAGAAGGCCACTTCAGAACCAGCACTCTCCTAAATTCTTGAGAAATTTAAAGAGGTTGTACCAAGTTCTGGCTCCCCAAAGCCAAGCAATGGCCTTTAACCAATGACTGACCCACCGAAGGAAGCAGTGGCACCCTTTCAGTGACCCCATTGCTCAGAAACACACATCTCTGCCTCCTTCCCCTAACACCTCCTACAAACGTACTGCCTTCAAACCCAATTAATGAAAAATAAGCATTTCCCCTCACAGAACTCAACTACTGACTCTCTTCCACCCCTTGCCCTACCTGTGCCGCCCGTGAACCCTCCCCAGCAGCCTCTCCCAGCCCTTGGCCCCAAACACACTGACCAGCAGCAGCAAGGCCTCACCAGCTCGTCCCTCAGCCCAGCGCTGCTCCTCACAGTAAACGCTCCGAACCCCTGACCGCGGCTCCCCTCACACACTCCCACCCCTTAACCCCCTGAAAGCCCTCACTTCCCTACTCTATTACCTCCCTACCGCGGTAAACGACACCTTCACACACACCTACCCATGTACACCTACGAGGCCCTGCCCACCAGGCCTCAGCCGTGGCCCACCCCTGCCGCGGGGCGCACGCGCCAGCTCAGCCGTCTCCTGTTGGGTGATCTAGCTGTCTATCAAGAGGCGGGGGCGGATACGGACCAATCAGCAGCGTCCGTCGTCGAGCGGGCGGAGCCGTGACGGCGTTGGGGCGCCCTGGGGGTCAGAGCCGGTAAGGGGTGCTCGTTTGGCCTTTGCGTTAGGGGTTTTGGCTTTAGCGGGGCGGGGGAGCCGCGGGGCTGGTCTCGGCCCAACAGCGAAGTCGCCAGGAGTGAGGAAGCGCTCGTGGTGCGAGCGGTCAGTGGGCCTGGCCGTTTACAAACCCCCGCCTGTCCAGCCTGGCTGCTGTAGGCGGGAGGCCTCGTCCGGCACCTGGGCCCGGCGCGGCAAGCAGGGAGATCGCTGTGGGTCGCTTTGGGTTGTCCCCGTGTCGTGGAAGCTCCTCTGCCTGGGAGGAGGCTGGTGGTTGTAAACACGCTGTTCTCCGTGCTGCGCATGGCGGGACTTGGCAAGAGCACGTTTACTCGTGCTGTGTGGGGAAGGCGATCAGTGCCGCACGCTGTTTACTTCAGCCTCCCTTCGAACAGCCAGTAGTAATGGTCTGTCTTTCTTTAAGATACGGTGCCGCTTGGACTTTCTTTTGCTTGAAAGAAACTCTTTCAAGTAAATTACTCTCTTAAATGGCTTTGATCTCTAGGCCTTTGCAAAGCTATTTCATCGAAAAGAGGCTGTGTTAAGAGACTGTTGTGACTGTTCCAGGCAAGTAGCATTGAAGTATGTGTGTGTGTTTGTTTTACAAGTAGAAATGAAGAGGTGTTACCGGAGAGGCAAAGGAAAGCGTGGACGGCGTGCAGCTATTGCTCCCGATCACAATAACCGTGCTGTGAGGCAAGTATATGCAGCTTGTGCTTGCCATGGGTTAAGCTGTTAGATGTTATGCCTGATTAAATTTTCAGAATAGTGGCTATGTCGAACTGAGAGTATGCCATCTAAAAGTCTAGTGCAGATTATAGTATATCTGTCATCTCTACTTGAACTAGAATTGCATTGATTTCTGGAAGTGTATCATACGTGCACAACTGTGTATTGGCTTTAAACTGAGATGTAGTTTCATGGGCTAGTCCTTTCAGGTGCGCCTGGTCATCCATAAGCTCTTCATCAATATGCAAAGATAGTTCAGGGAACAAAAAACGTTTGTATTTCATTCCACCTGCCCATTTATTTTATGCTCAGTGTCTACTAGTGTAAAAACTGTCATTAAAGGATCTTGCTGAAAGTTTAAAAACATGTTAAGTAACATGATAATAATACTACATGTGGCAGATCAGGGAGCTGACACAAGGACTCAGGAATAATCCACTGCCTTGAAAACTGATTCTTTCAGAAAAGTACACTTTAAACTTTTGAACTTATGCTTGCCTGTGTTCGAGCTATTTTTGTGCCTCTTTTTCTTTCCCGTGTTCTTTCTTTAGTTCCTCTTCCAGGAATAAAAGAGGCCAATCCTTTGCTTTAATTAGCATTTAGTTAGCATTTTCTAGCAAATATATGTTTAGAGAAAGAGACACACACATGAGTTTGCCTCATTAGTTGTTTTTGTGTAAGAAAAGTTAAAAATGCAAATGGTCCCTAATTCAATGAATACGGAATTAAAATGATCTTATTAAAAAGCTTTCAACTGAAATGCTTGCGTTTGGTGTGAGGTATTTTTCCTTCTGTAAATGTTACGTTCTTTAACTTTTCAAAGTTATATAATCAAACAGTAATAGAGCTGGTATTGGAATTAGAATTTCTTTGTCATTTTGTTTTCAATAAATTATGACTTGGAAAACATTTTGGCCTAATGCTTTTAAGAGGATATGTAATAAGGCCTCTCTTTAAAAGTGAGAATTGTACAGGCAATTCAGAAAACATCCCCATGGAATTTTGCTCATCAATACTGAATACGCTCATTTGAGTTACATAAAAAGAAGAAAGCTGCAGTTACCCTGTCTACTGCAATGTTTATTACAAAAGCAGAGACTTTTCTTTCTTGGAGTTTTCATTAAACTTTTATTTTGCCTGTTTCTGAACCTCATCAGTGAAATTTCTGTCACAAAGAGAATGGCAAAATATTGTTGACTTGACATCAACGTTTTACCCACACTGTCTCTTGTTTTAAGCTGTGAAGTCTTACATGCTTTCAGGGGTGGGCTTTTCTTTTAATCAAGGGATATGATAAAAAGCCCAGAATTAATCTTTTGCTGAAAAGAATTAAAGGCATTTGCAGAGTTAGCAGACACCTGTAATGTTTTAGCAAGTAATTAAGGCCTTGAAAATACTGGTACCTCTGATGTTCTTGAGAGGTTATTAAGCTGAATATTTTTACTGTTTAATTTTCATAATGTAGTGTATGGTGAAATGCTCAGGGTGCTTATCACAGCCCTGCAAAACTGTACTCCATTAATGTAAATAGCAAGCCTCTTTCTAGATTCTCTGTGGGAAAGATGTATAGGACAGTAGTGAGCCTGTCTTGAAGACAGTGCTGTTTTTTTTAGGCTGGAACAGGAGGACCCACAGACCCCAGTGCATGCAGGCCCCAGCAGCAGTGGGGATCCTTCTTCATCCAGTTTAACCCAGAATTCTGTAGTAGCAGGTAAGAGACCATGTCTTACGTGTCAAAAATCACTGCCTATATGCTGACTGCACAAAGAAAGTAGTAGTAGCTGTGTTAATAGTATGGAGTTACAGGAAGGATATAAGCAGTAAAGTTTGTGGGGGAAAGTAACATTGGGTGATATAAAAAAATCAGTAAGTGAGGAATGAGAGAGGAGGGCCAAATGTACTTTCACACCCCTAAGTGCTTCTATTTGAAAACTTGTGTGCTTAGCCAAACTGATATAAACTGAAAAAAATAGTGGCTAAATGTTTGTTCATTATCAGGGAGTTGACTGGTGAAACCATACTTGATGCAGTAGCAGTGCTATTGAGGAAGATGTTACATTTGCATTCTGGTTTCCTGACTCATTGAACAGCCCTAGCAAAAGCTAAGCCTGTGGGAACATCTCTTTCTCCACAACAGGAGAGTCCTGAAACACCACTGACTGTATAACCACTTAATGACAAAGACAGCATTTAAGGGCACGTTTTTTGTATATCACCCTTTTGTGTTTAAGAGACTGTGAGTGTGTTAGATGTATCCTGCAAAGCATTTGTTGCAGTATAATTAGATTATGTATACTAACTGCAGTGTGCTGTTACGAACCTTACTGATTCACTCACTCTATATTTTTGTTGACTTGAATAAATCTTGTGTCACTTGTTGCTAAGCTGAAACCTAAAAGATGCTGACAATGAACTGAATTGTAAGCAGCAGCAAAAAGAGGTTACTTCAAATGCAGTTTCTTGTGGCAGATAAAGGTTTAAATAAAAACTCTTGAAATGAAGTGTTAACACTCATCTTTCTGAACAAAATCCTTTGTCTTGAGACATTGTGCCATATGAATCTAAGTATTTTACCTGTCTGCCTCTCTGAATTTACCTGGGCAGTGAAGCACTAAAATTGAATGTTTCTTTCATCCCTGTTTATCTTTGAAATGAGCTTCTGTGTATTGTCCAAATGTACTCTTGATTGTATCTATATTTCTCCTATGTGTTGAAGAAAAAGTGGCTTGTTCTGGGAAGTGAATCACTTTATTTTGGTTTGGATGATACCTTCTTGTCATTTGTTTGTGACTGCCTTACCTAGACTTCTAACCAAGAGTATCACCTCAGGAATGATTTATGAAGAAAGGTCACTTTTGTTCTGCAGCAGAATCTTTCCTCTCTGTGATCTGTCTGGATTTCATCTTGGTCATTGATGACATCCTTTCTCTACTTGTGTAATGGCACTGCATTTGAAAACTATAAATAATATTTTTTTTCCTTTAAGTGGCAGTTATCTATTCCTAGTCTGCGTATCATGCCTGGGACCTGCTGAGAGCAAAAGCATTGAGCCTTATGACTGACATTCCCATGAAGATGCGGGATGTCAAAGAGCAGTAAACAAACTTAGTTGTCTATCTGATTTTGCCTGGGTTTTGCCACTTTTTTTTTTTTTTTTTAACCCTAAGAACTGCCAGGATTTTACTATGACGCAGACAAGAACCGCTATTTTCGCCTGCTGCCTGGACATAATAACTACAACCCACTCACCAAGGAGAGCATTCAGTACAAGGCCATGGAATGCAAAAGGCTGAAGCTTTTAGAAGAGGAAGAAAAACAAAAGAAGGTACATTCTGAAAAATACTGCGATTAGGCTTTATTATGCTCTAGCCCAGGACAGATGATAAACTAAAGCTTTTCAGTTCTGACTGTGGTACAGTTCCCTAAGCTGTCTGAAGAAAGGAAAATTTCTTTCTGCAGAGAATTTATAGTCCTTGTAGCTTTTGTTTGGCTGCTCTACACAGGAATGAAAGCAAGTCATTACAAATGAAAAACCTATAAATAGACAGGAACTGTGCTTAGAATTGCAGATTGTCCAACAGTTACAGTTGAGTCAGGACATTGGATGCCAGGTTTCAAATCCCTGCCGTGAACTGGCAAAGTGGGATCTTGATTTTCAGTTTTCCACATATTTAGTTTCCACATATTTAATAAATGTGTTTATCATATTCTTGGACCCTGTAGAAACAATAGTAATTATATTTTGTGGAAACAGCTTTTTCATGAAGATTTTTTTTGTTGTTTTTTTGACAGGTAAGATCAGGGCAGGTTGTATGTTTATGCCTGGAAAGCCTGTGTGCTTTTCATCATAAAGTGTTACAGCAGAGTTAATGCTGATACTGCGTATCTGTAATCTAGGTAAAATGCCCAACATGGATGTTTTAATTACCTGAAAGCTGTATCTTACAACTTTATAAATCACAGCACAGCCTAAATCTGCTGTCAGTTGGAAGAGGCAAGCAATATTTTCCTCGTTGGGTAATAAAGTTCTTGCTTCAGCTGGTGTTCTGCTTTTCAGTCCTTACTGTGAAAATGTTGCAGTTGATTTGGTTTTGGCTTTTTTTTGTTGTTGTTCCAGCTCTTTATGTGAGCCGTTTAGGTTTCATAGATACCAAAGAGCTGCTGGCCACAGTGCTGTAGATGACACCCTTGGTGACATGAGTTAGTCCTTCACCCCATGGACTTGGTAGCCTTTGGATGAAAGTTGGACTTGATGATTTTAAAGGTCTTTTCCAACCTAGTTGATTCTCTGATTCTGTGAGTCTATGGATATACATCTCAAAGCCTGGCTATTGAATCAGACATCTGAATTAGGCTCCCAGATAAAAACATTCTTAAATACTTGCTTTGTCTCCCCAGAAAGTGTTTGCATGAAACTTTAAAAAATGAGGAATCAAGAAGTAGTTAAATTAGTGCATCAGTAAGGCTGCATAGTTAATATCAATATTGTGATAGAAAATTGTGCTCTATAATAAGAACTTACAGTTAGTGGCTGTTGGGCTTTGTTTAGTTGTTTTTGTTTCTCTGGGATTTTCCCCTTCAGTTTTTCTATTTATAGAAGCACCCCACAAAATTTCACAGGAATATATTGTCTATTTATTGTAGAAGACCAAGGAGCTGATGTTGGAATGTGTTTTATAGAGGTTCTTAAAATTTTAATATATATAGGCTAGAGGAAAAAGTTACCCAAACATCTAAGATGTGTTTCAATTGTGAAGTAAATAACTGAATACACTTTCATGTTACTCTCTTCCAGCAAACAACAAGGGCTGGACTGAATTCATCTATGCTGTTACAGAAAAGGCAGTTGGGTTTGCTCAGCTCCACAAGTTATTGCAGGTACAATGGTGTGATTTGTTTTCTGTTTGTAGTACCAAGTTCTGCTGTTAGTACAACTGTTCCTGTCAGGTTTTTTTTTGCATTTCTCACTGTTCCACTTAAGATAAAGAGGACTATAGTACTTACAATAAGAAATCAGGTATGTTCTTTTATAATCAGATTACTGAAGTGATGAGAACTCAAACAGAATAGGTTTCCCAATTTTGGAGAAATGGAGTTTAAAACTTCATTTCCCCTGTGTCTCTCCCCTCCCTCCCCAATATATGCTGGTTTGCCACATTGTGCTTTATGAGAACAGTGCATCTTTTCTTTGGATGACTGAATGCTCTTCAACTGACATAAGCATTCCCCCCATCCCAGTAGAATGGCTCAGACAGCCCAGATTCACTAACAGCACAGAAAGCAAGTTAGTGACTTGCTATGATGTTGTTTCTGCTGCTGAAGATGTGTTGGTGTTCAAAATAATAGAATGAAATTCCATGAATGTGGAAGATGCGCATGTGCATGGCTCATGTAAGTTAAATTGCAGTGTGCTAGTTGATCTGACATTTTATATTCTGTGATTGAAAAGCAGTTCTGGATATCTTCTCCAGAATTCTTTGGTTGGCATTAAACCTAGGCTTACGTGAATTCTTTCTCCCCACCTACTTTTACAGGCTGGTTCATGAGCTGAAAGTAAACTGCATGCACAGGAGGAAGATAGAAATTCACAGTCCAGATTCTTCAGTTGCTGGAACCAACAATTTTAAAATAATTGTGGTATGTTGATGAGAATTTACACCTTTAGGATAAAGAAAGCCCATCTTCAGTGAAAATTCAGGATCTTGTAATTAAACCCCATAAGTCAAATTTTGCTTTCAAAAATGCATTGTTCTTGTTGTGTCAGTTCTCAAAATCTGTGCTTGGTAATTGAACAGGTAGGAAGAGGCTATGACTTTCCTACAAAGAAAATAATGAAAAAGTTGAATATGAAAGCGATATTTTTGGAGGTGTTTTTTTTGGAAACTGATCAGCTTGTTGTCTTGGAAATAAGCAGGAGTTGAGTAGATTGGAAGGGAAGGTACAGAGGATTAACAGGAAGAATAAACTGGAAGAGAATTTTGGGAGTGGCAAAGTCTGTGGTCCAGAGAACGTATTTAAACATCAGTAATCATTTTACAGCTCATGATCTGAAGGCAGTTTCTACTGAAGTTGATGGTAGTGCACGTGCAGGAGAAGTCTCTGGGGCAAGTATGTTTTGTAGTCTATGTAGGAAGCTCTGCAAGACCAGCTCCTGGCCTTGTAAACACAGCACTGGGTAGGTAGCTGAAGCTGGAAGTATCAGAAACTTAGTGTCAGAAAGTTGAAATGTAGCATTTGCTGTGATCCAGCAGCAGCAGAATTCCACTTTGATAAGGTTAAAATTTTTGGTTCGGGTCCCCTACCTGTATCAGTTTGTGCTTATTAATCCGCCAGAGAAAGTCTAGAGCTGCTGTGATTGGAAAGAGTACTTACTCAAGAAGTAAATGCTTTCCTTACTCATGTTTCTGTGCATGCATATAAAAAGGAGTTAACCACTTCATTTTAGAGATGAATGGAAAGTGTATGATGTTAAAGGGATGAGAATTAATGTGTTGTTTCATTTCAGACCTAATGCAGCTCCTTCAAACCATTTTTTCCTGGAAGTTTGCAGGAAGTGTGATCGGTAAACTTTTCTTTTACAGGCGGATGTTGCTTGTGAACGGATATTCACTGTGAATGATGTAGAGCATGGAGGATGTAAATACGGTATCATCAACCTCAGTGGTCTGGGGAAGGAGTCTCCCACTGTGGAGATGTATGACAACCTCTACTTCACAAATCGCAAAGTACTGTGTTCTGTTGCTGCTTCCTTCCTTTATTGCATTCTCAGAATGCTGCTCTTGGGAATCACAGGTAGAAATGCATGAGGGTTGAGGAAGGGGTTAGGAGGAGAGAGTGGAAGAATCCTGCAATGTGAAGCTTGGATAAATGCAGATTCTCAGTAAACTTGTCTCTGAAAGTCCTCAGTACCAGTGTTAGTTCTCAGGAATGTTATGCTACAGTTGGAAGACTATGTAGAAGTATCAGCTTCCAAGGAACTTACTTCAGAGTTGCACTTGGCCATAGCTGTCAAAACTGATGTTGAAGGCCAGAAACCACTAAGATTTGCATGCTTCTTTCTTAAAAAATAATTTGGGAAAAAATGTGTTTATTCTCTATCATGAAGCATATTTAAAACCAGCTTTCATAATCTCTCCATCCTCAGATTCTTTTAAAGATGAAGTCTTAAATAATAGGATGTGCTTGATACCTCAGTCTGTGTTTGGATAGACTTCTCAATTCTGCTCTGTCCTCTAAGAGAAGTATGAGGCTAAAATGCTCATGTCCCATTGCTGCACTTTTTATTGGGTTAAGGAAGTGTGCCCAGTGCATAATTTTGTCATCAGTGCATGGAAATATCATTTCATGAATTGAATAACAGATCACAAAAACAGTATGTCTTCTTGTGTCTGAAGGTGAATTCTATGTGCTGGGCATCACTGACTCATCCAGATTCTCATGTTTTATATCCTTTTTAAAGAAGCAGAATTTCAGTTCAGCCTTCACAAGTCTGCATCATGCTGCAGAGAACTGACTTCCAGGAAAGGCCTCTCATGTAGGTGTCCCAGAAATTAAGTTTTCTGGAAAACAGATAAAAGTTATAAAAACTGGGAGATGTTGAAGATACTGAGACAGATGTATGATTCTGTTATATGTAGAATTGTTCCAGTGTAATAGTAGGTGAGAGAGCATGTTTCCTCCCCTGGAGACTTCCCATTTCATTAATGATGTAAATGCCATATCCAAAATTATCTGATGTTTAGAAATTAGCTGGGGCAAAAGAATGAGAGAGAGGGTTAAAGGAACTACCTTTCTCCTTAAAGTGGACCTCTTTGAAAGTGAGTTGGTTTCTGTTGTAAACCATCCCCCATACTGGTTGGGATGAGAGGAGAGTGGATGTAATTCTTGCTCTTATACTTTCAAGGCATGTTCTACAGATCTGTCTTGGAAGAGGAGGAAGGTTGATGTAGCAGAAGCAGCAATAGTGGACAGTGCAGAAGAGAGGAAGAAAAGGATTTTAAAGTGGGAGATAGCAGGCAACAGTTGTGATGTTAAAGTGCCTAAAGACAGGAAATTCCATGTAATGGGAAAAGCCAAGCAATTCAGGACTGCTCCAGAAGGTGGCAGGAGTGCGTCAGGCTTCCTCACAGCTGGTTGGGAGCTGGGGGGGGACTGTTTGGTCATCTCGTGCTTTCCTCTAGTCATGTCACAAATTTACCGCACTGAACTAGAAATGCATCTTTCAAATCCTATTTATACCTGATATAAACTTTAGAAAGTATTTTAGTGTAATCTAAAGTGAGTCTTCCTTGCCTCCCAATATGTGTGCCTCTTTCCAACTCATCTCCATGAAAAACAGATCTATATTAATGCAGTGTCATCAGCATGTAAAGATGAGAATGATCTATGGAGGCTATGCATTTTTTTTCTATCACTAGAGAGATGCCTTAGTATTCTTCTGTTGTCTTTCTTGCATATGTATTTTTATTACCAGAATAAGATCTTTCTAGCCTTTTCCTATGAAAGAAATGAAAAGTCAAGACTTAATTGGAAACTGTAAGGCACATCAGAAGTCTCAAAGGGAAGGTATTGTGAGCTGTGGTTGTGTTAGATCATCTTGCTTTTCCCAGCTATAAATGTTAGGTAGCCTCTCCCATTACAGGGGGAGATTTTTGTTTTCCTTAACTCACTTCAGCAAGCTGTGTCTCATGGGAATTGCAGAAACACCAGGCTGTGCCAGTCTGCTTCCAGCATCGTTGTTCAGCAGCGATAACTCAGGTAGGATGTTTCTGTTATTTTTTTTTCTCTCCAATTTTTGATAGCAGTTATGGCATGAAAAGAGCATAAAAGAAAGATTAGTTCTACACTTGTCTTCAGTAGCTGGTGAGACTTTTGTATTCTTGAAAACTTAGAAAGTCTGAACCAGTTTAAGAAGTGAACAGATGAGAGAACTTGCCTTAAGAATTAATTAACAAGCAGTATTCAAAGCACTAGTTTATTTTTAGCTGCTGCTGACATAGTACTTGAGTTTGGCAGGAGAACACCTCACTTGTAAAGTAAACACTTAAGATTTTTTGGAGTATCTTTCCCTGTAACTGATACTCAGAAGCTGCACACGAGAATTACTCAAATTTCCTTAGAGAAAATCCAGAATCATTGCAGAATCCCTTCTCATAGTAGCTACTCAAGTATGCTCACTGGATTAATCAAAGGTGGAAAGGTGGTAAATGCCTTAGCCCATAGCTGCTTGTACAGACTCATGCTCAGTTGTGTGTAAATGTGATTGATGTGGAGAATCCTGTGTCTTAAGTCTGATGGCTGTGGCTGTGTCTTTATCTTTGTTCAGTGTTTTGGGGGGGCAGGACTTTTCTTGATAGATATCAGAACCATGCTTCTTTGAGTCACACAATACTGTCCTCTGACCCAGTTTCCATTCAGACATAGTCAGTTAAGTTTATACAGAGAAAACCTGTGACAGATAAAGAGTTATGGACCTGTTTAAAATCCTTAATGCCATGCTGCCATTAAAAAAAAAATATGTAGGGTTAGCATGAACTTGAAGAGTCACTGATTCTTCACTGACTCATCAGTGGCTCATGCTGGCTACTAGGCCAGCATGCACAGTTGCTTTCTAGAACATTTGAAGCCCTTCACCAAAATCAGAAGCCCTGAGTTCTACCCATGTCCTCCTGTCTAGTATGTCCTATTAACGTTTTCAGGTATTTCCAAGTTAGACTGACTTCAGTCTCCTAAGCTGTTGGTTTGAGGGAACCTTGCTAAGCAGATGCTGGGAGTAAAGTAGTAGTTCATCTGTCTAAAACTGGGTGTTAGACATGTCCCCTGTGCTGGCTGACATACACATGATCATGGTGCATGTGCATGAAGTAAGTGCAAACTGAGGACTTAAAATTTACGTCAATTAGTAGACTTTATGCTGGAGCTACAGAAGTAAGGGTCAAATCAAAGGTATTGTTAGGCTTTGGCTAATCTATAGCTTATAAAGTAAATGTTTTCTGTTTCTAGCCCACTTGTCTTTAAAAAATGGCTTTCTTAGTGCTATAAGACAAGTGTTAGCTTTTCTTTCCTGCTGTTGTCAGCACTCTAAATGCTGAATAAATTTCATGATCTCTCACAGTCATCGATGTAGACACATCTTCAGCTTACAGTCATGAAGCCCCACTTTTGTATTCTGTCTTGAGTAGCACAGGGACAGTAACTGGGTAACAGTTCCTCTGCTTCAGATGGAAACACTGGAAGAGTTATGGAAATCCAGAGAAGCTTTCTGGGATATCACCCTATCCTAACATTTTATGGATGCCTCATGTATTGCTCCTCCCTCCTAGGAGATCGACCTGGTATGCTGTGCAGCTTCAAGATATCGACTGCCTGGTCCTGTGCTTGGTGCCTGAATCCTCAAATAAATGCCTGCTTCAGCACAGGTGATCCACAAGGCTAGCAACCACTTCTGTCTCAAGGGGAAAGACTTCTTACATTAATCGCCAAGCTGCTACCCAAATTACAGCTAAACGAGCATAATCTGTCTTCCTTAGGCCTGACACGACGAGTTCTTGTGGCCAATGTAGTGACAGGGCGTCAACAGTCATTTAGAACCAGTAGTGATGTACTGGCACAACAGTTTGCCACACAGGTAAGAACCACCATGCCCTTTTTCCACAGCTTTATGTTCTGTCTGTGATTGAACTCATCGTACCATACATAAGGTTGTGATTACAATTACTGTTGGATAGATACTTCACAGCACAGCTGATGTGGTCTGATAGTTGCATGCAATTGAATAGCAAAGATTAACCAATTTCAAACTCTGTGGCAACAGGGGTAACTTTTGTTAACTGTATTGAGGTAAAAAGGAAACGAAGGAAGTACAAAGAGCAGAGTGATAACCTGTGTTAAAATTGTTTTATCTGTGGCAAATGACCTCATTTTGTTAACACTCTTGATTGTCTCCATCAAGAAGGAGAAAGCCCCCTATTAAATACTGCTGGAAGTGTTCACAAACATTTAGTGGGAAGGGTGAAATTGGATATGTGAGAATTCCACTTCCTGTTCTGCTGTTATGTTAGACTAAGTTTCTACTTCCCTAGCTGAACTTTCACAGCTAAAGTAAACAGTTGAGGTTTGAATGGAACTAATGGGTTGGCTGAAAAATGTTGCAGTGTGTTAAAAAAAAAATAAATGTGGGTCTTAATGCCCATGTTAATTACATACTTTCGAGAGCTGGCACCAAAGAGCTCAAAAACCTGACGTAGATGCTGTCTGTGTAACCTGTCAGATCCTTTTTAGATGGTATATAGTACATGGCTTTCTCTTGGGCTCTTCCAGACACCAGTGCTGTACAACGGCTGCCGCTCCGGGGAGATATTCAGCATCGATGTGCGTCAGCGCAACCGAAAGGGCCAGAGCTGGAAGGCGATTCAGCTCTTCCATGACTCAGCAGTCACATCCATTCGCCTTCTGAAGGCTGAAGATTACCTTATGGCAGCAGATATGGCTGGCAAGGTATGGATTTGTCACATTTGGGATATTGCGTTTGTTTTAGTATCTGGGCACTGACAGGCACTTATCCGAATCCTGAGGGTGCATGCGTGTTCTTTGGGAATAGTATGTAACTGGTGGTAGTTCCATATATGTGTCCTCTTCCAGATCTACTTATTTGTCAACCGTCAAGTGCTCTCTGCTTTCTTAATACGATCTTTCAAACAGTTACTTCAACTTGCAGATAAAACTGTGGGACCTAAGAACAGCAAAGTGTGTGAAGCAGTACAAGGGCCATCACAATGAATATGCTATTCTCCCTCTGCATATAAATGAGGAGGAAGGACTTCTAACAGCAGGTGGGTTGACTTTTTGTTCCCCTCTACTCAGAGAGTGCATGTCAGTGATTTTCTGATGCCTGAGGAGTGTTTCTTAGCTACAGCTGTTGGAAGCTGTAAAACTGTTAAACCTTTAAAATTCTGACGAAATTTAGCCTTAGGTGTACTGTAATGTACTATGAAAATTAAGAACTAATGTTATGGATGCACACATGCAGTAATCACTTCTGTGTAGCATGTAATGGCTTACTGCTGTGTCCTGCATTATCCTTTCCACAGCGTGTCTCAAGAGTAGAGCAGAGAATGTAAACAGGAGACTTGGTGATAACTTTATATAGAGACTAAAGTCCGTGTATAGGTTGGTTTGATGCTTAAGTGGGTCATGTGGTGATGTACTGAAGCACTGGCATGTAAGCCAGCTTCCCTGTAAACTGTCTGTACCACACAGGTTCATTTTGAGTACACTTGGCTACAGGCTGAGATTTTTTTTTTTTTTTTAATTGGGGTTGGGAGGAGGAAAAGTAACAATAAATGAAGGAAAGCCCCTAAATCCTCATTGTATAGCCAAGTTTCACAGTGTCGCTGAAAACACAGTAACCTCCTCTCCTTGGATTTGTCAATAGGTGAGAGGAATTCTTGTCAATTTGACAGTGAGTTTTTCCTCCCCGTTTTTGGCTTAGGACCTTGCTAATGAGGAAAGTGCTCTAAATACTGATTTATTATACCTTTTATTGCCTAATAGGAAATACACATTTTCCCCACTTTGTCAGTATTCAGTGTAGAATGTCTGTTTTGCAAAGTATTGATAAGTACTTTGCCTCTAGTGTGTGTAGAAATGGTCAGGGCTTTTTCCCCATAGACCTTCTGCTTCTGTGTGATAATCTTGCAGAGCCATCTAAAGTACTTTTTATGTAATGCTGCATTCTGTTGTCCTTTCCAGTTGGTCAGGATTGCTACACCAGAATCTGGAGTCTCCAGGATGCCCATCTGCTTAGAACCATCCCTTCTCCTCACCCATCCTCCAAAGATGCTATTCCCAGCGTGGTGTTTTCTTCAAGACTTGGGGGTCGCCGAGGAGTTCCTGGCTTACTCATGGCTGTCAAACAGGATCTCTACCACTTCTCCTATGACTGATACAATATTCTCTTCACACCTCGTCTACAAAGCTGCCAGCCTATACATGACTTCACAGTTTCTGCACCTTCTTCAGCAGGTTCAGCAAATCTTGCTGTATGTATATTGTAAATAAAAGCTGAATGCTGATTAACTTCTTGGGCAATACTCAGCCTCTTTGAAACCTAGCTGTAAGCTTTGTAAAGCTGGTACCTTTCAGTAAGGGCCTGTCTCCATGCTAGCTGAATTTGCTGCCAAAAGGCTGCTCTAACTTAATCCTAGTTTGTTCATATAACTACTTAGCTGAGGCTGTGTCTGCATTAGGAAGTAGGCTGATGCAACAGAGTGGATTAGCACAGTGAAGTAGCTGGTGTGGAGAAGCTGACATTAAGTGTTCTTGGGCTTTGCTTGGAGTATCTTTGGTCTGGGTCCATGCATCATGTGTCTGCTACATCTGTGTTTGGAGCAGTCCAACAGTTGTTTCCCCACTCACTGTTTTGGTCCTCTGGGCTGGGCTATGCTAAACCTTGTCCTTTTCAGATGGCAGTAGGCAGCATGTATAGAAGAAAGCTCCTTTTCTGGTCCAGTAGCCATGGTGAACATTCCTGTTAATTTATCATAGTGTTTCCTAACCAGGTCCACAGCCCTAACCTGGAGTTTGATCAGCAGTCTGGAATGGCAGGCTTGCGCATGCAGCTGCAGCAGGAGCCAAGCCCTGTCTGGACATACTGCATCCTCCTTGGGATAGGAAATCACCTGTGCAGAGTCAAGGTTCTTGCATACAGAGGTACAACTGGGCCCTCAGCTGTGAAGTTGTAGCACCAGCTCACAGTAATTGGAGGACACTGTATCTGTATTTGAGAACAGTTATCACCCCATGGAGCCTTGTTACCTCCAGCACCTTCCCAGTAGCTAGGCTGCAGCTAATGTATGTAGCAACCACCTTTCCACCCTGGGACCCACTTGGAGCATTGAGATGTACAACTGTGTCATCAGAGATGCTGCTTCCCATGGGGTTCTGCCAGGTCATCGGGTGAGCATACCAACAAGTCCTAACCCCACCCTCACTGCACAGCATGTTAAGCTGGAGGCTGTATCCAGCTGCTCAGTGAGCTGGCCATGACAGAGCTAGGCTGAGCACCAGCATGCCAAGTGCTTTGAAATGAGGTACAGGCTGCACACACAAAGGTGAGTGCTGCTGGTGACTGTAGGTGTGGCCTATAGTTGAGAGTACCCAGTGCAGCGCTCATGCCTGGGCTACCATCTGTGTCTTCATCAACTTACTTACACACACACACACACACACTGCCAGTCTGTCTTGTATCCATTAACTGCAAACTCCTGTTTCACCTGCTGGCAGATGGAGCTGTGAATTCCTTACAGCTGTGGCTCCTCTGACACCTCTGGCTCTATTATGCCTCTGTAGAGCCTCCTTGCTCACACAAAGCAGGGTGGATGCTGCTCACAGCATGCTCTCTGCTGCCGCCTTCTCTTCCTCTTCTGCCCTTGGGTAACTGAGAGACCTGATCCCTGGCTCGCTTTTCAATTTGAGAAAATACTCTGCAACTTGTCTTGATTGGTTATGTTAATATGGGACATTTTCTGTTGCATGCATAGTGATCAATGCATACAGCACAACTTTCAAAGGCGTTTGCATTGACTTAGTTAATAATGAATACTGCAACTAAGCATCTGTCCAGGAAATCGGAATGTAGCTAACCCCATCTCCCCCTGCAAATTCCATGTTACATCTGGTTATCAGCTCAAATTGGAACATACTTCATATTGATATTCTTCCTAGTAAATATGTGTGGTTCAAACATTTGCAGCTAGCAAACCACAAAGATCATGAACTCCCTTAAATCAGAATTCATTCCAAAATTAAATTAGCATTTAAACTCCTTTCAGTGCTCTTACCTCCAGTAATGCCTGTTCTGCAAGAACAAGAGCATGCAACAACTGTGCCCAGTTACTGTGGGAAGCACCAACTGGGAACTGTGGCAGAAAGGCATCTTACATAATGGAAAATAGCTTCTTTTCTGTGCTCCCTTTTAGGCAAACCTTATAAAAGATACTCATTTGCTCCCTGTTGTTTCCAGGAGCTAAACTCACGCACGTGTCCCTGCAAACCTATTCACACAACTACTGCTTTTGCAGCCAACACTTCTAATTAAGCCTGCAAGAGCAGTACGAAAGAGGGCAAGTAGGGCAAGAGAAGCAGTCTGGCTTCAGTGGCAAACAGGGAGCAGCCTGCAGGCAGTGGCTGAAGTATGTTAAACTATTTCACTATGCTGCAATAGCTGGGCCCCTGAGGCTGTTAAAAAGTACAGAACTGCAGCATCCTTCCCCTCTGCTACAGCATCAGAATTCTGTATTTGCCTCAGCTTCTCAGAAAGTTCTGAGAATTCAAACCCAAACGTGTACATATTCTCCAGCTGTCCCCTTACAGTAGCTGCTTTCAGAAAAGTTACAACCTGGCAGTGGAAAGTTCAGCTTTGGTGCACAAACCTTCAGCTGCACGTACCTGCTTGCATATACGATGTATGCTACATATACTGTGAGCTGACTCAAGCAATCAACACCAACCCAACGTACTTTCTAGACAGGGGGCTGGGTGAAAGATGCTCCACTTGAGTGTTTAAAGCACTTTATGAATTAGTTTCATGTTTCCAAAATGGAAGCCAAGGCTCGAAGTTGATAAACCATTTCAGGTAATGTCTGAAACTACAATAAAGATCACCTGGCTTTTCTTGTTCAAACAACTTCTTCCCTGTCTGCAGTTCTGTTAATACCACAGTAGCTGTGAAGCACTCTGATGCCTTCCTGACAAGTCATCATCTGTACATTGTCATGTATCTACTGCTTCTCTCCAGAGCTGCTGTAAAACTGCCTTTTAAGCAGAACCAGATTTAGCCAGGTTTCCAAAGTGTCAGAAATGAGGGTGCTTCAACATCTCCAGGCATTCTTGACATCAGAATTTTTGTAATGCCACAATTGAGACATTTCCTACATGAAGACTTTTTTCATATATATAACTTATTAATATAACATCTATGTTGCTTTATTATTTACCTGAGTTATAGCCAATAAAAATGAAGTAAAAAAGTGGAATACACTTTAGTTTTGGCTTAAGATAACTCCCTAGCTGCCATTCTAGTTTTGCTTTGTCTTTGTCACATTACATCGTTGATTTTGAAAGCCCTCCTAATTAGTTTTTGTTTATTTCGGCATTGCCATGATTTCATTGTTGATGTGCCCACACTATGAACAGTTATGACATACTGTGTGCTGTAACTGACAGAATATACACATCAACATTGCTTTACCAAGAGTGCTCAGCTAAAGCAGGAGTACAAAAACCAGACAGTTCTATCACTTGTCCAAATAACTGTTCTCAAATTACTGACAAGCAAAGACGTATCTGTTAGTGCCAAATTATATTACAGCAATAAACCTGATGCAAGGACAATGCCAGAATACATGGAATTACAGTGACTGACATCAGCTGACAATGAAACATGAACATGAGAGGCTGCAAAATAGTGTGATAGTAGAACTTCAGCCTCATTGGGCTGGTTATGCTGAGAGGAAGATGAATAGCAGTGTCTGTATGACCAGGTGTGAAGCCAGAGTCCTGCAGTGTTAAAGCCACAGGGACATGGGTGAATGCCTCAGCACAGCCACAGCAGGTAGACACCTAGCATAAATGCAAGGCAGATCCAATACAATGATGGTGCTTATTTCACCAAATAAACTCTTATTGACATCAAAAGCCAGCCAGGGTTGTCATGTTTTCAGGAACACAACCAAAGGCCCGATTCACAAGTGATGCAGGCAGGAACATAATAAGATACTTTGGCCAACGTCAGTGAATGCAACTCCCCCTGTGAGGAACTGGGCAGGAAGATGAATGAGCAGGAAAAATGATGGGACCAGTTTAGTAATAAAACTATTCACAGGTTTCTACTGCTAGGATTTACACTCCCTTGCCTTCAGGTCCTTTTGTTATTGAATCCTAATGTGTTAATATCAAAGAGCACTGGGCTCTGCTAAAATATACATCTATCACCTTTAAATAGCTAATCCATTTTAATAACCACATTCTATAATCTGCATACTCACACAGCAAATACTAGCTCTTGTGTACAGAAAACAGCAGTGAACTTACACCTTACAGATAGCTTTTCATTTTGGAAAACAAAGAACCCAAATAATCATAGAATCATAGAACAGTTAGGGTTGGAAAGGATCTTAAGATCATCCAGTTCCAACCCCTCTGCCACCTCACACTAAACCATGTCACCCAAGGCTCTGTCCAGCCTGGCCTTGAACACCGCCAGGGATGGAGCATTCACAACTTCCCTGGGCAACCCATTCCAGTGCCTCACCACCCTTACCGTAAAGAACTTCTTCCTTAAATCAAATCTAAACTTCCCCTGTTTTAACCCGTTACCCCTTGTCCTGTCACTACAGTCTCTAATGAAGAGTCCCTCCCCAGCATCCCTATAGGCCCCCTTCAGACACTGGAAGGCTGCTATGAGGTCTCCACGCAGCCTTCTCTTCTCCAGGCTGAACAGCCCCAACTTTCTCAGCCTATCTTCATACGGGAGGTGCTCCAGTCCCCTGATCATCCTCGTGGCCCTTCTCAGGACTTGTTCCAAAAGTTCCATGTCCTTTTTATGTTGAGGACACCAGAACTGCACACAATACTCCAGGTGAGGTCTCACAAGACCTGCTGGTCCCGCTCCTTTTGATGCGGCCCAGGATACGGTTGGCTTTCTGGGCTGCAAGCGCACACTGAAGCCAGCTCATGTTCATTTTCTCATCAACCAACACCCCCAAGTCCTTCTCCGCAGGGCTGCTCTGAATCTCTTCTCTGCCCAATCTGTAGCTGTGCCTGGGATTGGTCTGACCCAGGTGTAGGACCTTGCACTTGGCATGGTTAAACTTCATAATCCTCTCACCATGGTTCAGAAACAGTAAAGTCAAGCCTGCTGCAATTTAAGCACCATGTAAGATTTTGCTTTGCTGAGAAACAGCATCAAAGATTCTGCTTCTGGATAATCAATCAAGAATGGGCTCTGCATACTGACTGGCTGCTAAGTTCCTAAGACCACACATATACTAAAGGTGTTTAGGCAGTATTTTCTTTGA